AAAAGTTTATTTTTCATGAACTTTTCGAAGTGCTCTTGTGTGATTCTGGTATCCATGATGTAAGTTCGTGGCACCTGCCCTTTTAGCGGAACAAGCTGAACTGGATTATACGTTTTATTCGTGTATGTGGGGCGCTAACATGTTTACTGTTCACCGCATTGTCTACAAGAGGTGAGGTAACAATAGCACCATTTCTCAACAAGCAAGCTTGTTTTGTGGGTTGTCACAGTATCAATCAATTTGAAGGAAAATAGAAAATAAAATACATGTATATAATTTTTATTAGATAAATATTTTATTCATCCACCTGAGGATTATTCATTTCCTTACACAGATATACATACATATTCTGATAAAATATCAATGTAATGTTTTGATAAAAAAGAAACTTTTTGTTACTTTCTTGGAAGATGACTTTAGCAATGCTCATTGTTACAAAACAGAAACATAGTTTGCATGATAAATAAATACTGAATTTTGTGTCTTTTTCACATGACCATTTATGAGTTTATAGAGAGTAATATCAAGCATGCAGCAGACAATAAACAATGAAAGTCACTTCGTGTTCCATAAATATTAGGATTTCCAATATGTTTGGATGTTGCTATTTTAGTATGATAGTCACTCATTACCCATGTTAGTATTATATTAAATGCACACTAAGTTGTGTCCATGTACATGCCAAACATACTTTAAAGTTATAAGTGTTATTGTTTACAAAATATAGGCTATAACTAAACATAGGTGCTATCCAAGTAAGAATGAACTTGATTGGACTCATTGCAATAGTCCACCTATTTGAGTTTCCTTACTGTGTGCATCACCTGGGACTGGAGTTCCCATAGCTTGTTTACCAGGAGATGTGCTAGAGCAGACCCTTGTCTTTGTAGCTAGGCAAAGAGCATTGCTGGGTTTTGTGGGTTGTCACAGTGTCAATCAATTTCTTAGAAATCAATTTGAAGGGAAATGGAAAATAAAATACATGTATATAATTTTTATTAAATAAATATTTTATTCATCCTCCTGACCAGAGTTGCTGGCTTAGCGGAAGCAGAGGTCCTCAGAATGGATCGCAGGCTCAGCAGCTATTCACATAATCTGTTTTAGCCCCCGTAGCTGCTCTTGTTGGAGCCCATTGTGTATTGGCGAATGCAGTAGAGGTTAGGTTTCACAGCTCACTCTGAGGGAGAAAACCTAGAGGCCAATTCTAAAATGTCCTATAGGATCACCAAGACTTTGAATAGACTCAATAGTTATAGCTCTATCTATCTATCTATACATCTCTATCTATATAGCTATTGAGTCTAGATATATCACATACACACATCTATATATACACCTATATATATCACGTATATACACATACACACACACACACCAAACCAAAAACCAAACTCACTGCCATTGAGTTGATTCTGACTCATATCAACACTAAAGGGCAATGTAGACTGCCTCATGTGAGTTTCCAAGACTGTTAATTCTTTTTTTTAAATCATTTTATTGGGGTGTTTTACAGCTCTTATAACATGCCATACACCAATTGTATCAAGCATATTTGTATATATGTTGCCATCATCATTTCCAAAACATTTCTACTTGAGCCCTTGGTATAACCTCTTTTTTACCCTCCCTCCTCCACCCTCCCACCATCATATGAATCCTTGATCAATTATATATTGTTATTATTATTTCGTATCTTACATGGTTCGTTGTCTCCCTTCACCCACATTTCTGTTATTCATCCTCTTTG